ACAGTGAAAGTAATTGAGTAGACAATATAACGAGAACAAGAGAGAAATAAACTTATACCCTACCTGCGAAAACCACGGCGTGCGCCTCCTAAGTGAGCGTCCACGCTCCTTTCACTTCGTCCCTGTTATTTTGTCTCTCCTCTTGTTCTCTCTGTTATTTTCTTTTTCCCACTTTCCATGTTAATTCGTTCGTACCGTTTCCTCGGTCTCCCCTGCGTTACGTCCCTTATCGTGATCCTCTTCTCGCATATTACACACAGCTATATTTTTCTTCAAAAGCACGTATGTACATGTATCACATGTACGCATATATCTAGATATGTATCGAACGTTTTCTTTTTTCAAAGAAGAAAAAAACGCGAAGGAAAGAAACACAAGAGAAAGAAAAGAAAAGGAAAGAAGAATGAAAGTCTCGCTCTCTGTACCTTCGTGTTCCTCTCTCGCTGCTGTCTAGAAAGATCCACACACGCACACACATGTACACGAACACACCCGAACGAGGATCGTTCTCGATCCCACATGGTCGCCTATATTTCTTCGCCCGTGAACCGGAAGTACGCGGGAGAACAATGTTCCCTTTTACCTCCTCCAACTCCTTCGTCCTCCTCCTCGCCGTGAAGAGAAATGAAGAAAACCAGAACGATCGCGAGATTCGGCGAATCGGAAATGGGAAAAACGAAGAGAGAAAATAGATTCGGGACGATCCGAGGTGTCGTTCGTCGGAGGATCGCGGCCAGAACTCGATCGAGAGATAACTCGCACAACCTCGCTTTACTTTTTAAAATGTCAGTCGTTCGCCGTAGTCGCGCGGCTAATTACCTCCGATTTAAGATATAAGAGAGTTTACGGGACAAAAAGATCGACGAGTCGGAAGGAAGTGAGAAAAGACGGAGAAGAATCGGATCTGCCGATCGCATGTTTCACTACGATACGAGGAGGTCAGCGGACGATTCACGGATGATAAATTACGTGAACGGACGCGAGAAGACACTGCATACACGAAACACACACGACGCGCGCACTTATATTCTCGCGATGGTAATCATGTAAAATAATAACGACAATAAATAGCTCGTAAGCCCGTCTAAGCTAGGCACACCTGTCGATAGTCTTAGATAGTCAAAGTGGAAAGGCGAAAGGTGAAGAGAGTGTGCTCGGTATGAGTCAACCGATGGAAAGAGAGAAAAAGAGGGAAGAGATTGACGATCGTAGGTCTCTTGACGAATGATCATTATCCCGCGGTAATCGATTCCCGTGATCGTCCTTTCGTTTCGATTTTTCCTTTCTTTCATTCTTTCTTTCTTTGGTTTTCTTTGGTTTTTCTTTAGTCACGCGGTTCTGTTTCGTCTTGACGCATCGTTTTGGTAAAAATTAGAGACGTACAGGATGTTCAATATTGTCTTCGAGCGATTTTCTTGGAGTGTTACAATTGTCTTCAAAACTATTTCGAATTAAAATTGTAATATTAGTGTGCCCCAGATAAACTTGTTCCTGACACTTGACCAACCTAATCTTTGTTTTCTACGATAAATATTGAAAACATTTAATCAGTTATGTAGTATTCTTAGTTAAATGAAAGAAAAAGGAACGAAAATAGTTTCTTAACATTTTCTGTTTAGTTATATGTATTGTCGTTACTTTAAACTCTCAAGTTTCGTAGAATGTAAATATTTTTCAGTATCAGTATGTTTATACTGATATATACTTTCTCTTTTCCCATAAATATATTTTAAAACTTGACCTCGAAGCAAACAGCTCACTGTGTTATTGACATCACTCTGTTAACATTATTCAAAGATTCACGATGCCGTTAATCTCTTTCGAAACCATAAATATTTATGCAAAATTCCCTGATGCGTATCTCTCTGAACGAATTTTTTACTCGATTGATTTATGCCGTTAACTGTATCTACAATTTTAACGACGCGTATAAGATGAACGACCTTACGCGAAAACATCCATGTTGACTCTTACAGAGACAAGTTCACTGTCAAAAATCAAATCACATCCCCTTCGAACGTTCAAAACGTTACAAATCTGATCGGAAATTTTCCGAAAAATCATCGGATTCAAAATTGTTGAAAGAAGATTTCAACTGAGCATCCTATACGTTTCATGTGAATTATAAAAGATCGGTTCCTCGAAGAAGACCGCGTCGAATTATTCAACCTCGAATCTCAGAGTTCCTCACATCTATCGAACTCCGAGATTCGAGGTGCATTCGTTCGCCGATCGACGCGATCGTCCTCGAGCCGCCATAATTGAACCGAGCGAGCGGTTTTCGTTTGTTTCGGGGACGCCGGTGATCAGTGTCGTTAATCGAATCACTTGACACTAGAATTGTCAAATGATCGAATTCACTGTTTCGCGTTTCAATTAATTTAATCATTTCAGTTATCATTTATATCGGTCACTTAATAGTTCATCGATTCGATTCATTTAATTATTTATCAGAAAGGTACTGTCTTCTCAATGTTCGTAAAAGAAGCTCGAAACGGGTATTCGTGATCTTTTTGATAATTCTAACGTTCATCCCCCACGTTTGCCCGGGACGCGATTGTCGACGAGCGAATATCACACCTTGTACATTAGATCTAACGACATTATTGTATAATATTGTAATTAAACGAGGAAAACAGGGGCAGCGAGGGCGCGTGACCGCCGCCCCACCCCCAACCCCCGAGGATGACAGACAGAGATATGATTTTCGAACATGTAACGCGATCGTCGACGTGAGAACGATCGCGACTCTATTAACATCGATGACGCACGGGCTGAATTATCATGCATATACTGAAGGAGAGTAAGAGGGAGTGCTTGGTTGCATGAGAAAAAAAATTGCGTGACAGAGAATCAAAAACAAAAAACGAGAGACAGAGAGAGAATGAATGAGGACGAGTGAGTCTTTTCGTTTGAGAAAGAAAAAAAATGTATAATTATCGGTAGTAATATTATTATCACTAATAATATAATAAATGTGCCATTTTTTCCATAATCACGGTGCCTCCGGATTCTACTCTTCTCACGGTGTTTGATCACTGTTTCTTTTTTTTTGTTTGTTTGCC